TGCAGTAATGGACCGAGTAGTGGGAGCGCTTTTCTCTTCATTCCCAACTTTATCCTTCGGTGATTTGTCACTTGAGTTTGGATTGTAGTTTTAATAGCTCCGTAACAGCATCCTCCATTGTTTGAATCTGCTCCTCCATGTCCAAAATATGATTCTCAGCTTCCTTGAGTCTTGCGCTGGTTTTGCACACTTTGGCCTTAACTTCTTCAAGCTGTTGCACATTTTCTTTTCTGATTCCCTAATTTCCATAAGTATCGCCTTAAATTGATAAGTTAATATTGACGTTCTCCTCCATTTCATTCTTTTTTGCTAGCATTAGCCCCAGCACTAGCCAAAATGTCGCCATCTTCGTTAGCTTCACTTTCTTCAGTATCGATTGCAGTCATAGTTATCACCCTTCTCTTGGTTTTCACCTTGCCGTGTTTGTCATTCACCATAGCCCCATCCTAGTTAGTCACTTTTAGCTTTTTATCTTGTTAGTATTTCGAGTTTCAGCGGCTTTTTGACCAAAAAGAGCCAGAAGCAGTAGTTCTACGTAGCTACCTCCATTGTGCGACCTGGAAGTCCCTTCTCCAGCACATTTAACACTATATAATCCCCACTACTGAGAGACTAGTTGTTGCAGATGGGGCTGGACTCCTGGTATCCTCGATAGAAACCTCACACAGTTTGTGAGGCTGAGAGACTGCACCTCAGAGACCGTGGTCAGCAGCATTGGTGACCTAAAAATGCTCTCTCAGTGCTCTCTCCTGTCCTTTTTGCCCTGTACATGGCTGACTTCAGCTACAACTCTGCAACATGTCACATGGAGAAGTTTTCTAATAACACAGCTATAGTTGGGTATATCATGGATGGACAGGAGGGAGAGTATAGGAGCTTGATTGGACTTTGTAAACTGACGTAAGGTAGACTTCCGCAGGGCTAGGCGTTCTGCACTACCTGTATCAATTGGAATTTGTCAGTACCTACAGGTACCTGGGACTCTGTCTGGATACCACACTGGACTGGTTAGTGAACATAGATATACTCTACACAAAAGGGCTGGCTGAGCTCCCTGAGGAAATTGGGGTTTTTACCATCTGCAGCAAATTCTTGTTTATATTTTACCAGTCAGTCATCACCAGTGTTCTCTTCTGTGCGCTGGTGTCCTGGTGAGGCAGCATCCAAAAGAGAAAGAGAGATGCCAACAGACAAG